AGTCCCACTGAGGCGAAATCTTGATGCTACTTTACAGCTACAAGAGTGTCCTTTGAACCTTGTGGGAACAGTTTGGGATTCACCTGCATGGACATTATTTTTCAACTAGAGTTAGCTTAACACAAATCTCTTTATTAGCTTATATATTACCAAGACTTTGGTGGAATTTATAGGTTGTCCAAATAGCAAATTTGGCTAATTAATGCATATTCTTACTTCTATTTATACCTGCTTAAAATGCAGTTTGTATCCAGACACATTTTAATGCATTCTCATTCATTTGAGTGGCAGGAAATCAGACCCAAAATCCCCTCAAAAAAGTTGTGTGCGTTGTCGAGTTAGAAAATACTTCTTACAAATTCCTCAATTATGTTTCCACTCTTGTAAATTGGGCAAATGTAATAACTTATTCCGTCATTTGTATAAAGGAGTATTGTCAGTTTGTGTTGCAGTACTGGCGCGTAGGCTACTCTGGATGTCTAGATTAAAATATATTCCCTGTTAACAAGCAAATCTGACACAGATGGAGTCGGACAGTTATGTTCTTACTAGGTAGTACTCATTAATTTTCCACCCGATATTTCTGTCCATTTCGGGCCAGAATAGACGTATCAATCACACCAGGCGTGTTGATACTGATGGTGTTTACACCTACCTAAGATCTGCACACAATGCGAGCCACGATTGTATTAACGCGTTTTTTATCTGCACAACGTGTCTGGATACAGAACGCGATTTCATAAAAGGTGTGAATGGGGGTGTAAGTGGTGAGATCAAATTTTTCTTTCTGCCTGGATCAGAGAGCAACAGTCCTTCTTCTTGCTGTCCAAAATAAATCCTTTCTGTCTCTGCTGAGAACGTGGAGCAACCAAGCATACAAGTTAAACTTAAACGTGTGTTCAGACTGAATGCAGGTGAACTTTTACCTCCCTTTCGTAGTCCAATACAGACTTAAAGTCCAGCTAGCTAACACTGTTCACTGAGAGTACATTATGTGACAGTTTAGGGTCACACTGCCTCTAAGATTCACGTTCAGTCTGAATACATTTTATGAACCTGCATTTCCAGCTCTGGCTTCATGTCGACTGATCAGTGGTCACAATGGATGCAGTTTTGAGCTTAACCTACAGCATTAAGGAGCAGGGCTTGTGTTTAGTGGGCCAGCTGACAATTGGAAAA